TCGGTATTTCAGAACTCAGATGGAATTTATATTCACTTCAACAACAACAAAAACAAAAAAGGATGAGAATGCAGGATCCTGTTTCCTCATCTGTGAAATGGGGACAGTAACGCTTTACCTCCTTTACTGGAATGTTGGGTGCATTGGTCAGTTACTGTCTCAGTGCTATGTAAGTGCTCTGTACGGTATAGATGGGACAGTGTATTCATTGTATATTATATTTATATAGCATGTCTTACAGTAGCATTAGTATTAATTATTAATATTTCATGCTAATGATTAGACAACAGCAACAAACCATGTCCTCTGGTAAGATATATTTTATATATTCTAATTGTACTCTTCTATAGGTCATATTGTGCCCCTCACTTTTCAGAACAACTGTTCTTGGTTTCAATGGGGACTATTGATTCAAAATTGTTAGCATGTTTTGGCCTCAAAAGCTGCCGTCTCACTGAACAAGACAGGGGTGGCGGTGGTTGTGGCTGTTTGAGGATTACGTGGCTCGGTCTCTCTCTCTTCCCCTCCCCCCAAATCTGGCCTAGGTCAGAAGTGATACAAAATCATCACCTTCTACTTGCTGTTTAATGGCCTGTATTAGGGGCATTGAGATTGTTGATCTCAGTCTAGTTCATGATGGACAGGTGGCCACCTGAAAAACCCTCTTGTCTTAACTGGTGTTAGCTGATACCTTGCTGGTAGTGTCACTTGAGGCTCATGGAAACGGAGTTACACGCTTACCCCAAGAGCAGGTCCCTCAGGTGTGCATTGTGGGTAAGAAAGCCCTGTGGCCACCTGCGCTATAAGCATTCTGGGCATTAACGGAGGGTTTCATTCTCCAAGGTTGTCAAAGTGGCACATTTCGTAAGCACTAAACTCCCTTGAAAAGTGCTGCTGGTTTTTCTGTTGTTAACCCCTCAGTGGACCGAGTGCTGAGATCTGACAGGTGGCTCAGCACTCTGATCATTGTAGCCTCAATTAGTTCCCCCAGTAGAATAATTAGCTAATCAGAAGGAGAGGCTGGGGATGTAAGGAACTCATAAGCCTTCAGCGGACTATCCTGATAAGCCAGGATGGAGGTTTACAGGAGAGGAGGACAGGGCTACTAGATGAGCTTGGAATGAAGGAGCTCCCTAGACAGAGCAATGTGAGCCCACGCTCAAAGCAAGCCCTCCTTGCATCCACACTGCAACTGTACTAACCTAGGGCTCAAACCCAGGGTCCTAGGATTCTACAGGGCTAGACGGTCTGAGCCTGAGTCAAACCAGGAACTAGGGTCTGAGCCCTATTGCTTTCCTATGTACATGTGGCCCCAGTTTGAGTCGGGTCCTGGGAGTTCTCCAGATGTATCCCACAGCTCCTGGCTCCAGAGTGGCAGTGCTGCAGGCAGCCAGCACAGCTGGCCAAAAGTGCGCGCTCCCACTTCCTGCTCCTCCCAGGGGGCTCCAGCTCCTCCTCGCTGCTGCTCGGAGCTTGCCCGGAGCAGGGAGCAAAGTTGCAAGGCAGAAGGCAGAACCCGGCTGCCAGGATGTTGGGGATCATCCCCTCACTGGGCTGGGCTGAGTCGGGAGCTCTGCCACTCCCTCTTCCTGCTGGATAGCCCTTGATCCCTGCTCCTCCACTCTCTGGCCCTTGCTCGGGGGCTCCCCCTGCCCTCCCTGGGGCTGTCTGCACTGTCAGGGCAGTGAGTGGGAGCCAGCCCCGAAACATCCCTGCAGTCTCCTGGTGTGCAGCGGGGGCAGGGATAAGGGATCCCCAGGGGATGCTGGTGCATGCTGCACCCCAAGCCTTGGGGATGCCCTTTACTGCTATAGAGCCAGCAGCAGCCAGGCCAGGCGGGGGGAGGGGGAATGTGTTATCAAGACCACCCCCTTCCCAGGCACTGTCCCTCTGCCAAAAATGAGCCAGTTCCCTTCCCTCCCCCCAGCACATAACAATCTCATTTGGTGGGAATAGTGTCCCAGCTTGTCCATGAATTTCATAGTGCACCCCGTTCCTAGGGCTAGTGTGTTGACATTGGGAGGGGGGTGGCGCTAGGAACTCTGGGATAGGGTTACTTTGACTCAGGTCTGTGCACTGCAGTGTGGATGCCAGAGCCCTATGTTTGAGCAAGGGTCAGAAAATTCTTAACCTAGGATTAAAATGCACTGTAGACGCACAAGCCCAGGGTTTCCTGACACGGGTCAACTGACTCAAGTCCCACTAACCCTAGGCTTGCATTGCTGTGTAGACACAGCTGGGGAGACCTCCTTGCCTCCCAGGGCCCTAGCAAAGAAGGGATGAAATATGTAGATGTTAAAACTGTGATGTTGTACTGTACTGGTGTTGTTGGTTGGATTTAGAATAAAATACAGCCTTCGTACAAGAAGAAAATGGATCTGAGCAGTGTTAGGGGCATCAGAAGATGGAGGTTTTACAAGTTTATATCTTGGCTACGGACACTCCTTCTGGGGTGTAGTTTATTACAGAATGGCTGTGGCCAGGAGCATTTATTTTTAATTATTTTTGTCTAATTTTGAATTTTAATAGTTTATCATGAGGAGGAGTACGTCAAAGTACTTCACCTAAAACCTCACCCTTTAAGAAGCTCCTGGGAATTATTCCAATAGTCCTATGTCCCAACATTTTTAAAAAAATACAAAACTTGCTATAGTGGAAAAAATAAAGTTTTTTTAAAAACAAACCCTGTAATTTCATTGTAGATCTTTTACTTATCATGACCAGCACTTTTTCTGTTAAGGTTTCCTAAGATTTATAGGATGAAGACTTAGGTCCCAGGAATCTGCCCATGTGGATCTCATTGCAGCATTTGGTCTTTACTGTGTTCTCTCATGGGTTTTGGAGCTAATGTAATATATTGAATCAGTGAGCTCTCTGATGGCCCAGTACTTTATCTTTTGGAAATATTGAGGCTTACTTCTGTGGAAGGGGAATGGTTGTAGCCACTGCAGTAAGCCCCAACCCTATTCTCTGTCCAGTTCACTTCTGGTTGTTGGACAGGTTAGGAATGGCAGGGGAGATGTGTGCCTGTTCTGCAAGGGGTATGCTCCACACCAGTTTTCAACTCTAGATCTGGAAGCGGTGTTAAAGAGAGAACGTACATGCAAGGTAATCTTAGATAAACAATTTTTCTTTCTTATATGCTTTCGTAGGTTTGCTTTCTAGTTTTGGTTTAGGTGAAGAAAAACGAAGCAGCTACATACAGTATGTGAAGTAAGATTTAAGAAATCACTGAAGTAGTCCCCTTGACTACAACTCCTGTTAAAGCTTCCGGAAGAGTTCCTTCTACTTCCATTGACATTAAGGAGTGTTTTATCAATGACGTCAGTGGGAGCAAGAGCAGGGAATTGCCACACTGAAGCTTGGGAACTTGCAAAACTTTGCAGATATCACACCCAGGCTGAAATTTTTCAGGAAACTTCAAATGTAAGAAATTCTCCTCCCCCACCCTTTCTTATTTTTGCTGACATCTAGTTAGGGGTACCAGTTTTGGTTGGATATATTCCTGGAGTTTAATCACATGAGATAATCTTTAATTCCTGGAGTCTCAGCAACCCTACATCTAGTGTATATGTTGATTTCAGCCCTTTCAAATGGCAGCACTTGTATAATCAAGAAAAAAAGGAGGATAATTTATTTTTCATGCTCTAGATTTTGGGAATTTTCTTGGGTGCCAACTGGTTCAGAATTCAGGTCTGATTCTGCAGGTATTTGTAACAGCAAAAATAGGATTGACTTCAATGGGATTTGTGTATGTGTAAGTACTTCAGGTTCAGGCACTATGGTCTTAGATGTTCAGTAGTATGGCAGAGAAGATGATGCTGTCTCCACTGTATCTCTCTCCTCCCCACACCCCTCCCAATATAGCTCAGGGCAAAACTTGAATTCAGGTTACTTATATGGCAGGATGCCTGTCTTGCCTTCTGGGGCTACATTTTCAAGAGCCTCAGCAGCCACAGTTAGGGCCTGACTTTTCAGATGAATTCAGTTCCGATGTAAGACCTAAATAAAAGCCAGATTTTCGAAAGTGCTCTGCAGCGGTCAACTCCCATTGCGACATTTATGGCCAGATTTTTAAAGAGCGCTCTTAAAAGTATGACTCCTTAGTTAGGTGCCTAAATAGGGACTGAGCGTTTTTGAAAGTCTGGCCCCAGTTGTGGGAGCAGAACCCGTCTGAAAATTGTGGCGTTGGTGTCTTAAAAACAGTAACAGCACAGCACTGCAGATCTAGAACTTGAAAAGGACGTGAGGTTCCATTGTACTATGTAGAAGTAGCAACTGCGGGAACCCCTGCTTGTTGGAACAATGCATTGCTACATTCCACCGGCATTTATTGTTACTGAATACTCTATCGTAATAGTCAGAATGCTACTAAAATCTATCTGTGCTGTACCTCTCTCTTGGTATTTTAAGCAGGTTAGTGTTCCTTGAAAACCAAATTAAAATGAACAGCTTTTTGAAAATTCGAATCCTTTTTCCTAAGGTCATTATTTTCTTTCTAATAATAATAATAATAATAATTAATAATTAATAATTTATTAAGTGTTAACAATGTGCTTGGCAGTATACAAAACACAAATACAGTCTCTGCCCCTGAGATTTTGTAACCTAAACACACTATACGATGCCTGTGTTCTTAGCTGGAAAAGTTGAATAGCAGCCTGTGGTACAAACCTTTCCCTGTTAGAATTCCTGTACCTCTATTTGAGAATTGTAGAGTTTTCAGAAGACATCACTCATCTCAAATTAGTCATTCTTATTCTTCAAAGAGGATAATATTACAATATTTACTGTGTAGATTAGAGATTAGCTCACAAGATTCAGATCCAGATCAGAGCTGCCTCAAAGTTCATGGCTGTATGAGTCCAGGGTTTTGATTTAGCCCATCTCTAATCTATACAGTTTGCATAGTATACTATTCATGTTTATCCTTGTCTGGCACATCACTTGTGATGTATATTAATGTAACCTATTTAGATTTTAAATGTTGTTTTTCCTAGGCAATATTTTCTACTCCTCCCTGCAATGGGGTTGAAAGGATGGATGCAGTAAATATGCCAGGTAATTGCTTGATATGTCAGTTATATTAAATCTAAGCTAAAGGAGTTTTCATTGTACTGTAGATTCCAGGTGTCTGATGTATTTTCACTTGGCTCAGATAATGTTTATGGTGTGAAATGACATTCTATTGTGAAGACAGTGGACCTGACCTCTCAGTTCTGAAGCACAGGGTTTGGGAAGAAAATGACAGTGATGAGCAAAGACAGTTAACAAAAACAGACTCGAACTGTATATTGTGTGTGTATGCTTTAAGTTTGGGTATCCTTTAAAAAAACAAACTACATATTCCTTTACAATTCCAGCTTTTAGCCAAAACCGGAATCAGAATATCCTGGTACTGTGGGAGGATCTCTCCTTGTGAGATTTCCAGCATAGCTAAAACAAGAAAGTACTGGAAATCTCATAAGAAAACATGATCTTATGAGACTCCTAGCATATTTCTAGGCCCCTGTGGTTTGGTTAACTTCAGATAAGCAACCTGCTTTTCAGATATTTATCAGAACCTAACCTTCAGAGAGTCACCCACTCTGTAAATCTTCCTTGTCAAGAGGCACAGACTTGGGGTACACAACTTAGGACCCACACTTTGTCTTAATTTCAAATGTTACACCATGGGAAAAGATGTTTCTGTGCTCTTGTGCAGTTTTAATTTTTTACTTGGACAAAAAGATTATTTTTTAATTCACTTTTACAGTTCGACTACAACGAGTCTGATCACAAAGAAATTCCTCAATCCTGCAAACGCTTGCACACATCGTTCACTTAATGCACTGAACTAACTGGAACTATCCACACATGCAAACTTATGTGCACAAATGTTTGCAAGGTTGGAGCCAAGAAAGCAAAATTTCATGCATCCCATGCATCATGCTTAAAACAGCATTTAAAAAAATCTTTAGTATACACTGGCAACTTGTAATTAATTTATACAGAAAAAATAATTAATTTTGGTCTTTCTAATACTGAGTTATCTTGCTCCTTGATTTCTAGAAAAAATAGCTACACTTGGCTAAAGATGCTTAGCCCAATCTCAAACCATCTGTGTTTTTCTATTAAGAGTGCATCCAAGATTCTTCTGAGTTCAGTATTGTTTGCGTGGGGGGAGGTCTCTTTTTCATAACTCTGACTACACATGTGCTTGTTGCCCCATGATTTCTACAAAACGCTAATACGTCTAATGACTAGTCAAGTCAGCTCCTCTAATTTCAGAATTGGGGTCTAATTCTGGTCCACTGTTTTGTAATTTTAGATTGGTCCCACCAGATGTGGAAACGGATGCCCAGCCTTCCTCAGTTCCCCCAGCAAAGGTTAGACGTGCCTAAATCTGGCAACAATTAGGAAATCTCTGGCCTATAATTGTGTAGTGGCTTTAATTTATGAAGCATAGAGAGGAGGAAGCAATCCTTTGTCACTGTGACCCTAGGTACCCCATATGCACTGCAATAATGTGCTTTGTGTGGTATCCTATGAAAACAAGTAACATGTTGGTTATTAATATCATTGTAAAGTGCATGTGTATAGGTAATATGTGAAGCTATGAATTTCCTTTGTATGATGCTACTAGAATGCGTTTAAGACCACACAGCCTAGCAGGGGTAAAGGTGATAGAGAAGTCTGGCCTAGACAAAGGAATAGGGGTTTGCCTCAGTTACATATTAGCAGTAAACAAAGCTACCGAGTTAAACTTAGGATGACCAGATAGGAAGTGTGGAAAAATTGGGGGACGCGGTGGAGGGTAATAGGTACCTATATAAGAAAAAGCCCCCAAAATCGGGACTGTCCCTATAAAATCGGGACATCTGGTCACCCTAGTTAAACTAGCGGAGATTATCCTGCTCCTGAACTCCAAGAGACTGAGAATTAACATGGCTCCTGCAAGTAGTAACCAATGCTGGTGGAGACCAAGGCGGGGCTGTTGTGTTTATGGCAGGCTGCTGGGGTCAGAGAGCTGAACCGGGGCTGCATAGCACATAGACACACAAGGAACTGCCCAGGCTATGAGCCACAGCGGCAGAATATTTAAGGCACCCAGAATTACTGAGCAGGTGGTGACACAACCTCTCATGGGTCTGGGTTGAACCCCAAAATATTACAGTCTCCCTGAAGTCTCCTGGCCTATGGGTTGCTCTAATTTTTCATTGATAAATCAAGGCCAAAAGGACACCATTTTGCTGATCTCCTGCATGTTATCACGGGTCACATGTGCATATGTTTGGATTTATCCTCCACTCCCGAGTTCAATATTTTCTGAGCATCCTGCACAGATTACACCTTTTACCAATGAAGATGTTCTTCAAATTCTGTGAGAGATCTTGAAAACCCAGCTCCATCCCATGAGGTTCTGAAAAATGCTCAACTGTGCATTGGTAAAGATGGGGTTTTTTCAGTGAGTAAATGCTTTCTCTGTTCCCAGCAGTTACTAGTCATTGAAAAATTGACTTGTTCTTCAGAAGCCTACCTATTCCCCATTTACATAAAAGCAGTCTGTGGCTGCAGACCAAGAGCTCACAGTGCAGCAAAGGGAGGGCAGGTGACATGTATCCATAAGCCACCCTTACTCTCCACTGCTCCTGGTCCCCTGGCATAAATTAAGTCAGTGTGAAGACTTATCTGATTTGTGCTAGCTGCCAGCAAAAGACATGGTCACAGCACTGGTTGCTAGGAGACAGGTGATGTAGGATTTGCCAGTTCTGTGCATCTGAAGAATCCCCATCCATGGGCATGAACCTCTCACGGCTGGCTATACCAAGCAGCCATGGTACAGATTAGGATCTGAGTCTGTCTTCCAGAAGAAACTAGGGGGCTATGTCTTGCAGCAGTGGTTTTCAACCTTTTTTCCATTTGCAGACCCCTAAAGAATTTCAAATGGATGTGTGGACTCCACTGGAAATCTTAAACATAGTCTGTGATCTCCAGGGGTCCGTGGACCACAGGTTGAAAATCACTGTTTTGGAGTAAACAGAGAATAAATTGGTAGAGGTCCAAATCTTCTTATATCCCAAATCCTTAATACTGAAGGTACCACTGGGTAGACAACTAGAGTACCTTCTTGTACGACACCCCTCCACTCAGGTATCAAACGTGGTGGTGCTGGTGGTTCCAGGATACCTTTGTGTGGGTATGTACGTACACACACGTGTGTGCATGCACAGACATATAAATCGCCTTGCAAAATTATTGACGACTTCCCTTGTTTCCATGGGTGTGTAAAATAGCATTCATTTTTTTCCTTGTAATCATTGTAGTAAAGGGTGGACTATTAGATTTTACTCCCGGGCTAGTAAACTTTTACTTTATATAGTGTCTGTAGTATGTATATTACACACAAAAATTGTTAAACATTTTTTTAGGTTTAAAAGTCAATCATTCAAAAGTTAGGAAATGCCAGAATTAAGATTGCCTGTGCAACCTTAATCAGTCCCCATCATGATACAATCTTTAATTACATGGTCACATACTGCTTTTACTACGGGATCCCTGCCTCATTTCAGGAAAAGAATTGATGGTACTCATTTAATGAGTAGCCATTCAATGTTTGTTTTCTTTTCATTGTTCAGTGTGTGGCACACAGAATTATTAATTTTCTCACAGGCTTTTCTATGGCACTCATCACTATAGCATACATATGCTTTAAACCATTTGTCTTCCCTGGAGACATGAAAAAGACAAAAGTGAAGAGTGTGTTAATGTTACCATTTTTTATTACAACTCCAGTGACAGTGTTACAGGTAAAATCATGGACTGGTAAAGACCCAGTACTCTCAGAAGTTAAAAAGTTTGTGCTAACGAGGTGGCCCCGCACCAAAGTTGATCAGACACTCACACCTTATTATAAGCAATGCAATTAACTCAAAGTGTAAGACAGGTGTATATTATGGGGAGCACAGATCATCATTCCAAAACAAGCACCTGAAGTAAATAACGGATTAACTCCATTGAACATATCCAGGTATTACTAAGATGAAAGGGTTAGCCCAGAGTAACATGTGATGGGCAAAGATGGGTACTGATAGTAAGACACAATTCTGTTCTATCTGTCAAGAGAGTCACAAAGCTACTACTGTGGCTCCACTCTGTCCTTGGGAGTGGCCAGGTAAGCCTTAGAGGAGAGTGCATATTGATTATGCGGGACCATTCCTGGGGAAAATGTTTTTAGAACTAGTGAATGCACATTCCAAATAGGTAGACATCTATCCCATGCATACATCGACTAGCAAAGACACCATAGAAAATTTAAGGACTAGTTTTCAGTATCCGTGGCTTACCTGAAATGCTTCTATCGGGTAATGGAAGTTTTTACTAGCATGGAATGTCAAACATTTATTAAACAAAACAGTATCCAATGTGTTACATTGGCACATTCCAATCCATCCATCAAATGGGTTAGCTGAATGAGCAATTCAGTCATTATAAAAGGGTATTAGAAGACTACCTGGAGGTACAGTAACTATGAAACTGCCTCGTTACCTGTTTGTCAGATAACTTTGCAGTGAATCACAGGCCTGTTCCCAGCAGAGATGTTAATGGGAAGGAAACTAAGCTCAAGGTTAGACCTTATACATCCATATTTAAGGGGAAAATTCAGCAAAAACAACAGTAGCATGTTTTTCATGTTGCTGCTTTTGCTTAAGAATGCAGTTTTACTGTTTTGAGAAGTTGTTATACTAAAAGCTTTTGGCCCTGGTCCCAATTGGATGTCCGTTACCATTCAAGAGAATACAGGACCAGTGTCCTATATGGTAATTCTGGGGGGTGGCAGGGTGGTAGTGAACTGCCTTTTGGTCACCCAAGGAAAAAGGATTGTGGTTAATGCTGGAGATTAGTACAGCAGCAATAGAATTGCCACCTGAGAATACCCCGATTAGGTTCACCCCCAGTTTCTGGAACTCTAAAGGGGCAGCTGCTAGCCACAACATCAACTGTTAAAGAGAAACCTCGTGGACAGACTGTGTCAGCTACCGCATTGCAGAATGACAGGTTCTTCCTGAAAATATAACACTGATGGCAGAATTACCTTTTGCAGAAGTTGAATTGAGTCATCCTATATGGGAGAAATGTCCACCTTCCTATTTAAAAGATTATAAAGTTTAACAGTCACTGAGTGCATATCTATTTAATTTTTATTATTTGTATTTGAAATGCATTACTACTTATTAATGTTGGCTTTGTAAGTTGTGCAGTAAATACTTAAAAGGGGGGAAATATAATGTGTACAATAAACAGGACACTAGAGAGAGTAAACAAGGAAATCTATGCCTGTTCCTAGGTTATGTTGTTAGCTACAGTACTGTGTACAGTTGTGAGTCTGTGGAGCCATTGCCAAGAGATATGAAGGTATCCTGAATTAAAAGACTGCTAATACTCAGACATTGGCATGCATCTGGTTTACACTTCCACAGAGGTCTTACAATTGGAATCTGTAGGCAACCTTAATCGTAGACAGCACTATCAGAACCACCTACAATTCCTTATATGTGTGAGCACAGTGTTTTCCAAATGATCCATATGAACCTATGAAATCCATTGAGCATTTAGTTTATAGGAAGCAGAGAGAGAGAGAAGCAGAGAGAGACATTGCTACTACAGCAAAGTGTTAGACTTTGTCACCACACTGATTCTCTATGATATGTCAGCCTCGTAGCAGTATGGGAGGGCATTTTCTCCAGTACTGCTATCAGGCTGACCCATCATGGGGAGGCAGTGAATAAAGTTTGCCATGAATAAATGTACTGAGTGAAACCTCTAGATCAGGGGTAGGCAACCTATGGCACGCCTGCCGAAGTCGGCACACGAGCTGATTTTCAGTGGCACTCACACTGCCCAGGTCCTGGCCACTGGTCCGGGGGCTCTGCATTTTAATTTAATTTTAAATGAAGCTTCTTAAACACTTTAAAAACCTTATTTACTTTACATACAACAATAGTTTAGTTATATATTATAGACTTATAGAAAGAGACCTTCTAAAAAGGTTAAAATGTATTACTAGCTTGCGAAACCTTAAATTAGAGTGAATAAATGAAGACTCGGCACATCACTTCTGAAAGGTTGCTGATCCCTGCTCTAGATATTCCAGTTTTAAAATGAAACATACATTAAGGTTCACTTTTTTAAATGTTGGTGGTTGCTGTAAAATGGTACAGAATGATGGGGGACCAGTTCCAAAGTCCATGAAAATCAATGAAAAGTGTGCCATTGACTCAGTGGTCCAAGAACCAAGTCTTAAGGCAGGTTAATCAAGAATATAATACAGGTGGGACCTGATTCTCTCCTGCCTTATGCAGTTATTTCCACCAGCACAAAGAGAGTG